AAAAAAAAAAAAGAATCAGAACACAGAACAGCAGACACTAATGTTAGGTTATTATGTGTTACTTCCACTTTGGCCTTTCTGAACGTGGCACCTACCCTCTTTTTCACTAGTTCCTGTATAGGTCTTCTGATCCAGCCAAATCAACTCACCATATCCACTTGCCCCTGTGCTATTCCTCATGCCTGAATTGCCTTCCCTGCCTCTATCCAATCTTTAACTGTCTGTTTCTTATCCATTGTTCAAGGCGCAATTCAAACACTCCAGCTGCCAAGAAGTGCAAAGTACCCTCCATTTTCTATCCTATTATCATGATGTGTATCATGATATAATTTTCCCTGTGAGACTACAAGCCTTTTGAAGCTAGGATATATCTAAGACTCACCTATGTACTCCCACATCCTAGGCCACTGCACTCACGAAGTGTTCAGAAAATGACTCTTAAATGAACATTACCAGCTGATGTCATGACACATCAAAGATCCCCAACTTCCTCCCTCCTCCATAATAATAGGTAAAGTGTAGCCTGCCTATGTAGCATACTTATTAGATATCCACGCTAGGGCAAAAAACAGATTCTGACCCACTGGCCTAAAGGCATGCACAGGTAAGTTAAATATATTTATACTTACTTTTCTATTCTTCTTTTCATCTATTTTGGGGGGATGCCAAGAATAGGAGGGAGGCATGACTTGGAAAGACTGGCCTTGGAACAAAAGTAAATGATGCTAACTTTTTTACTAAGTTCAATTCCTAAAGGCTTACTGATTTTTGGAAACTATTTGCAGAGTTGCATATTATTAGCTTTATTCTCATTTATTTACATGCTGGCATAGAAAATTATCCATTAATAAATATAACCAAACTTTGAACCTTTCTAGAACAATGTTAAAATAGAAGAGAAAAACAGGATGAAGTGGCACGTGCCTGTAGTCCTAGCTACTTGGGAGGCTAAGGCAGGAGGATCTCTTGAGCCCAGCAGTTCGAGTCCAGCCTGGGCAACATAGTGAGATTTTATTTCTTAAAAAAAAGAAAATAGAAGGGAAAATACGACTACACTGGCATATGAAAAGCTCCCACAATAGATCAATGATGAAATATCACAAGATTTACATTACTAAAAAATACAAAAATGCTGAGAGACTTTATAACCGATACTCATGAAGCCAACTGCATACGAACTACATTAACATCCTCGTAAAAGTCATTAAAAAACAACTGACATCATTTGGTCTGATGGTATTCCATAACTTTTATTATATAAGATCTATGAATTCTCACCTAATTTTTCCTTTATAGATAAACATCTTCAGCACTGACTATATTTAAAAGCAAAGGGTGGCACCATCTTTACACCTCTTACCAACTTCAAACATAACATCAGGCGATAGTAAAACCAAAAACAAAGAAAATAATTCCAGTTAGTTCCCTCTCCATTCTTCTAAAAACAATAAAATGATAGTTGCCTTACTTTTGAGATATTTTTATTCTCCCAACATATATACTAATAAAGCATTTCACTTACAAAGTACTCTTTGGAAAAACAAACCAGGATTTGGTGTATTCTAGGAAAAAAAGGCTGATACATAAACTGCACTAAATTCCAAAATGGGGCTCACATAGCGATGCAAAAACATTCTTGATTTTCTTACCTCACAACAGTCATGCCTCAGTACTCCTCTCAAGTTATATACTGTCACTTTAAAATGTGAGCCCTTCACAATTGCATTAATTAGAAACTCATAGCATCTGAGATTACCTCACTCTATTAAACAACTCAATGAAATACAAGATTAGGAGAAGTGGATTATTTTCAACAATTTTTCTCAAAAATCTCCATTTCTATTTGCAAAACTAAATGAAAAGACTTAAAATTCCTGGCCTGGCATGGTGGTTCACATCTGTAATCCTAGCACTCTGGAAGCCAAGGTAAGAGGATCACTTGAACTCAGGAGTTCGAGACCAGCCTGAGCAAGAGGGAGACCCCATCTCTACTAAAAATAGAAAAGTTAGCCTGGCATGGTGGCACACACTTGTAGTCCCAGCTATTTGGGAGGCTGAAGCAGGAGGATGGCTTGAGCCCAGGAGTATGAGGTTGCAGTGAGCTATGATGACGCCACTGCACTCTAGCCAGGGTGACAGAGTAAGACTCTGTCTCAAAAAAAAAAAAAAGACTTAAAATTCTAGAAAAGATATTTAACATATTGTCTTTCCACAGACACTTTGGCTCTGTCCATCCCCCCCTTTCCTCTCCCTATGCCCATCTCTCCATTTCCCCTCTTTCCTCTTTCTCTCCCCTATCTCCCTTTTTCTATTCTCCACCTCCTTTTATGTACAACCCTCCCTCTTTTTCCTCCTTTTTTTTTTTTTTTTTTTTTTGAGACAGGGTCTCCTTCTGTCGCCCAGGCTGGAATACAGTAGCGTGATCACAGCTCATAGCAACCTCAAACTCCTGGGCTCAAGTGATCCTCCTGCCTTAGCCTCCCAAGTAGCTGGGACTACAGGTGTGGGCCACTATACCTGGCTAATTTAAAAGATTTTTGTGTAGAGACAGGGTCTTGCTATGTTGTCCAGGCTGGTCTCAAACTCCTGGCCTTAAGTGATCCTCTTGCCTCAGCCTCCCAAAGTGCTGGGGGGTTATAGGAGTGAGCCATTGCGCCCGGCCCCCACTTCCCTCATCTCTTCAGTATTGTGATGGAGGCTAGACAGCACTCACTTTCCAATCCACCCTGCTATGAGCTTTGAGACGTGTATGTAGCTGTGCAATATCATCTTTATCTGGCAGCTAGATTTTGTTCTTGCAGCTCCCCTCCCTGTAACCCCATTCTGGGTTAACTGCATTACCCAGGCTCCCCAGCCTGACACCTCAGAGGCATCGCTGACTACTCACTTCTACTCCCCCTGCTCCTGAGTGGTTCTCAACTCAGTTCAGGCCTTCATCCTCTTTCACTTGCACAAATCAGCAGTTCTCCCTGCCTCCAATCTAACCCACCTGCCAGATGAACTCCAAGCTGCCCCCAGAGTCATCTTTCTAAAACACACATATAACCGTGTCACTCCATTGCTTAAAAATCATTGTTTCCCACAATGAGATATCACTTATCTCCAGTGAGACTGGCCTTTATCAAAAAGTCCCAAAACAATAAATGTTGGCATGGATGCGGAGAGACAGGAACACTCATACACTGCTGGTGGGACTGCAAACTAGTGCAACCTCTGTGGAAAGCAATATGGAGATATCTTAAAGAGATACAAGTAGAATTACCATTTGATCCAGCAATCCCATTATTGGGCATCTACCCAAAAGAACAAAAAACACTCTATGAAAAAGACACCTGCACCCAAATGTTTATGGCAGCACAATTCACAATTGCAAAGATGTGGAAACAACCCAAGTGTCCATTAGAACATAAGTGGATTAATAAAATGTGGTATATGTATACCATGGAGTACTATTCAGCTTTAAGAAACAATGGTGATACAGCACCTCTTGTATTTTCCTGGATAGAGCTGGAACACATTCTACTAAGTGAAGTATCCCAAGAATGGAAAAACAAGCACCACATGTACTCACCATCAAATTGGTATTAATTTATCAACACGTAAGTGCACATATAAAAATAACATTTATTGGATGTCGGGCAGGGGGAGGGGGAGGGAGGAGGAGGGGACGGGTACACGCATACACAAAGAGTGCGATGAGCGCCATCCGGGGGATGGACACGCTTGAAGCTCAGACTTGGGAGGGAGGAGGACAAGGGCAACATACGTAACCTAAACATCTGTACTCCCATAATATGCTGAAAAAAAAAAATCATTTCCTCTCCTTAATTCCTAAAGAATTGGCTGGGTGTGGTGGATCATGCCTGTAATCCTAGCACTCTGGGAGGCTGAGGCGGGAAGATCAATTGAGGTCAGGAGTTCAAGACCAGCCTGAGGAAGAGTGAGACCCCGTCTCTAGCCAGGTGTGGTGGCATGCGCCTGTGGTCTCACCCACTCGGGAGGCTGAGGCAGAAGGATCAGCTGAGCCTAGGAATTGGAGGTTGCTGTGAGCTAGGCTGACACCACGGCACTCTAGCCTGGGCGACAGAGTGAGACTCTGTCTCAAAAAAAAAAAAAATTCCAAAAGAATCAACTCTAAATTCCTTAGCATGGCTAAGGACATCAAAAGTGCTCTGCGATTTGGCTCCTACCTCTATTTCTAGCCTTAGTCATAGTCAATAGCCTATCGGCACCTTTTTACCAGTCACTGAATTTGAAATTCCCATAATACACTATGCTCTTTCACACCTACCTGGCATATTCATGAGCTCTTCCGTCTACTTGAAATGATCTTCTTCCTCTGATCACATCTACTTGCCCTTTAAGATCTAATTCAAACATCATCCCTGGCAAACACTACCTGAATTCCAATGGCAGTTCATTGCTTCCTCCTCCGTGTTCTCAAAGGCCCTTCAAACAGATAGTTATTGTCTTATAACCAAATAAACTTGTATAAATGGAAAAGAATATGGAAAGATGGGACAGTCATAATGGATTAATTCAAATCAGAATGTGTAACTGGTTGCCTGTTTTACTTACTTTTGTGGAATCAAAGGAAGCAAATCCCATTAACTTCATCATTTCTATTTCTTCCTCTGTTTTGCCCTCTAAGTCTTCCTCTGCAAAAATAAATGATAATTTTTTGAACTCTCCTATCATTTGATATTATATATAAATAAAAGGAAAGGTGGCAACAGATTAATATCATTTCACCTCCTCACCAGCAGAGAACACACAAAAAAATTAGCTAAGCGGTGCTCAATAGCATGTGCATATAGTCCCAGCTACTCAGGAGGCTGAGGCTGAGGCAAGAGGATTGCTTGAGCCCAAGAGTTTGCGACTGGCCTGGGCAAAATAACGAGACCCCTATCTCTAAAAAAATAAAGAATAAGAAAGTAAAATAAAATAAAGAAAAAAAAACAATTATCTAAAGCCAAGTCTAATGAAAAAAATTCCTCTTAAATTTGAACAAAATGTAACCTACAGTGCAAGAAAAATAATGTGCTCTCCTTGGAGCTTTTAGACAGGAATACCTTTAACATCAGACGTGACATTATCTACCTAATTCTGAAGGTACTTCCAAAACAGAATATTCTCATGTTTTTAACTACTCTTCCTAGATTATACCAGGAGCACCACAGATAACCAGCAACTCACTAAGGTATCACTAAAACACAATCTCAAAACCATATACAATGAACACTATAAAAAGCTTAATATTCAAATGTTCAAAAATTAAACTTTGATAATTTTATTATGAGTGAAGTTATCTAAACAAGGCTGTGCTTTTCCTACAGTTATTTATCTAATAACATTACCAGTAATCTGACGTTCTTTACTCTTGGTTTCTTTTGTTTCTTTCTTTTCCTCATCTCTTCTTTCTTTCAGTCGAGAAGGGGAAGGAGATGTGGATCTATGTCGTCTTGGAGATCTAATATTTATAAGTAAAGATGTTAGAAACAGACATACGGGGGGACTTTGTACCGATCAGCACAGATATGCATGAGTTCCTGAAAGGTGAAGGCTGAATAAAAGCCAGGCTCCAGAGAACCAGGAGTCCATTCCCCACGGCAGAGCAAGGTAGAAGGTTCTGCCAAGGCCCTGATTGTTAACAAAAAAATTTAAAAATACAGTTTACTGCTTAATCACTGCTTACTCATCAGCTGCATGCATACAGCTAGGGCTCAAAAGTTTTAATATCAAATTTAAAAGTTTCTAACAATTACACACACACAAAAGCTGAGTTAAACAGTAATTGATGCTTATTAAGAATCAGAGTCCATTTCTAAGCTTTCTCCAAGATCATCCATTCTTAATTACATACTTGAATAAATCGTTATCACCAAAAAATTAATTAAAAACAAAAAAAATACAAAATACTTATTTCTGACTCTTGTCAAGCACTATGCTAAGTGGTTTCCCTGCATTATTTCTCAATTACTCCTCAAAACAACTCTATGATGTAGAGTGCTATTAACCCCATTTAAACAAGATAAATCTAGCTTTAGATTAATGTGGGATTAAGTGTCCTCCATTTCATGAAACTGTAAATCTTTATAGCGATCAAAACAAAGTAAAGGGCAGTGACCAGTTTCTTCAGGACTTGTGGTAAAGCTTCTGGCTTATTTTCTGCACTTACCTGGAGCGTCTTCGGTGTGGGGATCGTGAGCGGCTCCTTCTCCTCTCTCTCTCCCGGGAGCGGGACCTCTCGCGGCGCCTGCGATCTCTCTCCCGGGATGTGGAGCGGGACCGCCTACGTTCTAATACAAACACACAAAAATAGCAGAGCCGAAATTACCGCAAAATATCTATAGCTGCGCTGTCCAACAGAAATATAATACAAGTCATTTGTAGTAGTCATATTAAAAAGGTAAACAAAACAAGTGGGATTAATTTTAATGATGTATGGTTTTGACCCAATATATCCAAACTATCATCATTTTGACATGCAAGCAATATAAAAAGTTATTAATAAGATATTTTACGGTTTTTCGTGGGAAATCTGGTGTGTATTCTACATTTACAATACTTCTCAGTTCATATTAGCCACATTTAAAGTATTAAATAACCACAAGTGGCTCGAGGCCTTAGTTAACTTTTAAGAAAATTGTATCTCGACTAGTTGAAGGTGACAAAAACTAACCAGGGGTTAAACTGAGGGTCTAAATTAGATCTCCTGATGGAAGTCCAAGGTTATTTACGTCGCACTGCCTCATTTACGGGGCTGAGGAGGGCAGGACATCCCGAGATGAGCTCCCTGGACTCAAAATTCTTAGTATCAATTTCTCTGTTTATGAGCTAGACAGGAAACTAACATTTATCTAACATCTAAAGCCAGACAGAATCACATACTGAATGTCATGGAATCTGACATTAATTTTCACATCAGTTTTTGTTATTGTTGTTTTGAGACAGAGTCTCCTCTGTCGCCCAGGCCGGAGTGCAGTGGCTTCATCACAGCTCACTGCAGTCTCGAACTTCTGGCCTCAAGCAATACTCCCTCTTCAGCCTCCACAGTAGCTGGGACTACAGGCGCACACTACACCCAGCTAATTTTTAAAATTTTTTTTGTAGAGACGCGGTATGGCTATATTTCCTAGGCTGATCTTTAATGGGCTCAAGCTATCCTGCCTTGGCCTCCCAGAGTGCTGGGATTACAGGCGTGAGCCACCACTCCTGGTCTCATATCAGTTTTTAAAAGTAGGTAATATTAATATTATCCCAATGACTAAATACAGGAACTAAATTCAGAAAGGCTGGGTGACTTGCCCACAGTCACACAGAAATCCAGTGAAAGAACTGTGGTCTCTCATTCTAAGCCCACCAGCCACAGTATAACACAAGTTATTGTTTGAAGCTGACAAAGAGTCGGTGAAACCTCAGTTCAGCGGGGAAAACAAAAAACAAAAAACTGCCGTCAAACCCGAGGGTTCGGAGAGAAGAGCGTGGGGCCCAGGTCTTCACTCCCCCACCGTCCCTCACTCTCCTCGGGAGAAAAGAGCCCGCCTCCCCGCTTCCCTGCTACCGATTAAAAAAAAAAGGGACGCGACTCTGACCGAGGCCCAGGCCCCCCGAATTGCTTCTGAACTCACCCCTCCGTGGGGAGCGGCTGCGACTGCGACCCATCTAGAGTCCCGCTCCTCCTTACCCCACCCCGGAAACGACTGTGCAACAACTTCCGGGAGGCCCGGGAACGGAGCTTTTACTGCCGACTGGAAAATGTCTAAAAGAGTTGCAAGGGTTCCGGTCCTTAAGGGAGGCTGCACTGAGCCGACCCGAGATCATGCGGCCCCGTCCCGGATGCCACCTCTGAGCTCCTAGAGTCCCGTAGGCGCCGAGGTAGGAGAAAAGTTGTCATTTCTGTTCCTCCAGCCCCGCTTTTGCAGCGGCTTCACCATCTTCCTGTCCACGGTGAGCATTAAAATATGCGATTTGATGTTATTATAGAAATGTCTGGAAAATTTAGCCGTATACCCACCCAACACCCTAATACAGCGTTCATTTTCTTCCCTGTTTTTCTTTCCATTCCTTGTCCACATGTATAAATACTTTGCATCAAACCAATTCTAAACATATTATTCACAAACATCTTACATTTTTGGATTTTTCACATAACATTCTCTCATAATGAGTGAATATACCAATATTCACCGTCCCGTCTGCTTTGTATGTTCTCAGATGCCAGCATTGAGAAGGCATCTGAAACCTCCTGTGGACACTTTGAAGGAAAAGTAAAGGCCCCATATTTCATCCTACCCCTACAAAGTACCTCCCAGATGCTGCCTCCACCCTCAAAATAAAAGCCTTTAGAGTGTTCAAAACTACAAAAACAATGGGAAAGGCTGTCTTGCTGCCACAAAGCTGAACTGTCTGTGGTAGAACAAAATACACTTACCAGGAAAGATTTGAACATGTTTCTAATTGAAACAACTCTTTTCAGCCAAAGATCTGGGAAGGAACTAGATTAGGTTGGCGACACCCTGTCCACCAGCCACAAATTTTTAAGTTAGATTTATACATTTTGATGTGGCCTCTTTTAATACCTGTCCTAACCCAACTTCCTGGAAAGAACCAGCCATGATATCTAGGATTTCCACCACCAGGCCTGACCCTCAGACTTCTTTGAAATTTCCCTGGGAGAATTCGCACTAAGGTATGGAACAAGGAGGTTCAAGTGGGGTGCAGGCTCCAGGGAGGAAGATTTAGGGACATCACTGGAGAACCACACCAGTAATGGTTGAAGAAATTGTCGATAGGGAAGACAGAGGAATTATGGGAAGCCTAGCTATATACTAGAGGGATAAGAGTGGAAGAACATAGTGGCCTCAAATAGTGGCTGAAAACACTTATTCTTTCTTTCTTGGCCAGGGATGGAGTCTTATCTGATGAAAACACTTTTGGAGAAACCCCTCCAGGACTTCAAAAAATGGTTAGAAGGTATGCTGGAGATCAGTTGAATATACAAACATTTTTTGTATGCCTGCTATGTGTGGACACTATACCCCTTTGTCACTAGGATGAAAAGATGAATAAGACATGATTCCTGCCTCAAGGAGCTTACAGTTAAGTTGTGCAAGAAGAAAGATGAGAACACACTTTCCCTAGAATGTGGTAAGATATGGGCAGTGTGCTATGGAAACATGAAAGAAGGTATTCAGTCTAATTTGGTATTCCAAGAAGGTTTCCTGGAATAATAATAATAGCAGCTAATATATAACTCTGCTAACTATATGCCAGGCACTGTTATAACATAAAAACAATGTTTATATACACATATGTACATATATATGTGCGTGTGTGTGTAATTGAACCCTGCAACTCAAAGGATAAGTTGTCCGGGTAAAGGGCAGGAGTAGCAATAGCCAAGGCACAGAGGTATGTCACACTATGGCATATGCAAGCCCTAGAAGAGGTTTGATTTTTTTTTTCTTTTCGTTTTTATCCACATTTTCTAAATGAGGTTTGATATTATCTTCACACTGAGTTCACCATGGTGGACCATACTAAGTACCTGGAACTTTATACTCAAGGTGAGGAGAGGCCACTGGAGCATTTTAGGCTGCGTTTCTGTTATGACCAGATTTGTGTTTTAGATGGTTCATTCTGGCTGCCAGATCTAAAGACTTGAGCCAGAAAGAACAGATGGAGGGAATGAGGGAGTGAGGGCTTGCATGAAGGCAATGATGGAAAAGAAAGAGAAAAGAGAACCAAATCAGGAGACATTTGAGGAGTAGCATGGCAGGTCTTGATGGCTGGTTGGATCCAGGTGGTGGGAAGAGGGAGAAGAAATGACTCCCAAGCAGGGCTGGCTTCACTGGCATGTGACCTGTGCAGTCACACAGGGTCCTGCACTTAGAAGGGCCCCATGGTTGGCTTAATACTCAGCTGTTGCCACTCTTGAAATTATTACTAATTTTTGAACAGGAGACCCTGCATTTTCACTTTGCACTGGGTCTGGCAAAAAGTATGTATCTCTTAGTGATGCTGACTAAAGTGAGAAAGTGACAGTTTGTCAGTTCACTACACAACTGAAACATGATGGTGAGTCCATGTGAGACACACGTGGAAAAGGCAGTGAAAGGTGATCTCTTTTGTATGTGAGGGCCCCAGTACCCCTAGGTCCTCCCTCATCCATTAAGTGGAACTCTTTTTGTATATGTTTGCTCTGGGAGAACCTAGTTACACTTCTGCTTGTGGTAGAGAGGGAGAAGGTACCTAATGACATCCAAATATTTATTTTTGGCAGGCATTTGACCACCTGCAGACTGAGTGATAATTATGGAAGAGATCAGGGCTAAAGATAGAGATGGGGGAGTTATGAATGACAGGATTCCATGAAATTGTCCTAAAGAGAAAGGAGTGGTGAGCCAAGGATGGCTTTCAGGGGAAATGTGGACTTACACAGAAGAGGAAAGGCCCACAGAGGAAGCCAAGAAGCAACTGTCAGTTATAAAAACAGGAGTACAAAATAGTGTTTCAGAATTCAGAGGAGAGGAATTTCAAGAAGGAATAACAGTGGTCAGTGTTGCAGGCTGAATAATGGCCACCCAAAGATGTCCTTATATCTGGAACCTGTGACTATTACCTTATATGGGAAAGTTTCTGCATATGTGATTATGTTAAGGATATTGAGATAGGGAGGTTATCCTGATTTATCCAAGTGGACTCTAAATGGCATCACAAATATCCCTATAAGAGAGAGGCAGAGGGATATTTGATACGCACGTTAGAGGAGGAGGCAATGTGACCACGGAGGCAGAGATTGGAGTGGTGTGCCCATAAGCCAAGGAATGCCCACAGCCACCAGAAGCTGGAAGAGGCAAAGAATAGATTCTTCTCTGGAAACTCCGGAGGGAGCACAGCCCTGTGGACACCTTGGCTTTGGCCTTGGTTATGGACTCCTGGCCTCCAGAATGATGACAGAATACATTTCTGTTGTTTTAAGCCACCAGATCTGTGGTAATTTGTTGCAGTGGGCTCAGGAAGCTAATACCATCAGCTATGTCAAATGCAGTAGAAAATCCTTTAAAATAAGAACTGCAAAGTGTCCACTGAATTTAGCAATATAGAAGCCATTGGTGAACTTGCGGAAAATTGTTAGAGTGGAGAGTAGGCTAAGGCAAATAACAAAGAATTGCATTTATCTTTCCTATTCCCTAAATCCATACGAGGGAAATGAAGGAAGATGCCATCAGTAGACCAGAAACTGAGGAATTTTCCAATTAGAAAAACCATATGTAAGACAATGGCAATTCAACACAGCTAAATAAGATGCCTGAAAAGGTGAACATATCTGTTTTTCTAGCAGACAAAAAGAGACCTCTAGGCCCAGCAGGGGTGAGCAGCAGCCAGACCAGCCACAGACAGCAGGCAGTGGGGCTGAAGGGTAGTAGCAGGCACAGTGCTCTGCACTGAGTGGAGCTGACGGGACAGGTCTCAGCACACATGGACACTGGGATTGGAGGGAGAAACAGCTGACAGCAAGGCAGTAACCCTCCAGATTAATTTCTCTATTTCTCCAACTGGGTAGGTCACGCACTTGCCAGCTAGGCACCCTGAAGGGAAGCTTGGCTCTCCAAGTCTTAGTCCATTTGGGCTACTGTAACAAAATACCATACACTGGGTGGCTTATAAATAACAGAAATTTATTTCTCACAGTTCTGGAGGCTGATGAAGTTGCAGCAGATTCGGTGTGTGGTGAGGGCCTATTCTTCACAGAAGGTGCTTTCTCTCTGTGCCCACACATGGGGAAAGGAGCTAGCTAGCTCTTTGGGGCTCCTTTGGTAAGGGCACTAATGCCATTCATGAGGGCTCCACCTCCTAACACCATCACACTGGGCATTAGGTTTCAACATATCAATTTTGGGAGACTCAGACATTCAGTATATAGCACTGTGCATCCCAGTAAATTCACCTTAGCTTGGTTTGGACTGCTAGGGAAGGACAGGACAACTTTCACAGTTCCTGAGGAAACCGCCCCCCCCCATTAGCCTAGAAGTTCATTTCTTAATTTTAACTTATTTTGAAATAATTATAGATTAACAGGAAATTGCAAAGATAGTAGAGAGGTCCTGTGTACCTTTCATCCAATTTTCCCCAGTGATTACATCTTGTGAAACTATAGTACATCTAGGTACATCTATAGCACAACTAGGATGTTGACATTGGTACAATGTGTATGTATAGTTGTATGTCATTTTATCACGTGTAGGTTCACATAACCACCACAATCTAGATGCACAACTATTTCATCACACAAAGATCTCCCTCATGCCACTTCTTTATAGTCACATTCATGCACCTCTCCTCCACCACCCCAAACCCTTGGCAACCACTAACCTTTTCTCTACCTCTGTAATTTTTCCACTTTGAGAATACTATATAAACGGGATCATGTGGTATGTGACCTTTTCAAGTTGACTTTTTTTTCCCACTCATCATAATGCCCTGGAGATCATCCAAGTTGTATCAATAGTCTTCCTTTTTATTGCTGAGTAGTATTCCATAATATGGATGTACAAGTTTAACCCATTCACCTACTATAAGACATTTTGCTTGTTTATGATTTTTGGCTATTTCAAATAAAGCTGCTGTGAATATGTGTGTGCAAGTTTTTGTATGGGCATGTGTTCATTTGGGATAAACACCCAGCAGTGTGATTGCTAGGTTGGTATGGTGAGTATATAGTTTTTAAAAGAAACTGCCAAACTGTTATTCAGAATTGCTATGCCATTTTACATGCATGGCAATGTATGAGAGATCCAGTTTCTACACATCTTCACTAGCTTTTGGTGTTGTCACTATTTTTTAAATATTCTAACAGGTATATTGTGATATCTTATCATGGTCTTAATTTGCAGATCCCTAATGACTAGCTGAATATCTTTTTTTTTGAGACAGTGTCTCACTCTGTCACCCCAGCTAGAATGTAGTGGCATCAGTGACAGGAGGAACATTTGAGACCAGGAGTTCAAGACCAGCCTGGGCAACATAGTGAGGCCCCCATCTGTACAAAAAATAAAAAATTAGCTGGGCATGATGGCATGCACCTGTGGTCCCAGCTACATGGAAGGCTAAGGCAGGAGGATGGCTTGAGCCCAGGAGGCTGCATTGAGCTTTGATCATGTCACTGCACCCCACCCTGGGCGACAGAGTGAGACCCTGTCTCTAAACAAAAAAAACAAAAAAACACAGATGTTCATTTGAAGCCACGAGATTGCATGAAATCTCCTGGTACAGGCTCAGGAGAAAAAAGGGCCTCTAGATAGCCAGAGGAAGAAACCAAAAGGAGACTAAGGAGTGGCCAGAGAAATAGAAACCAAGTGAGTGTGACGTCAGAAAAGTTTAAGAGAAGGCTGCTTTTTAAGGAGAACAAAGTAATCAATTTTAAATGTTTAAAGGAATGAAAAGACACATCTAACCTACAGGATTTAGCAACAAGGTCTTTGTTGACCCAGGAAATTTTATTTTGACCCAGGAAGTTGAATTTTGTTTTACCTTTGTTAGTCCTATTTCATATAAAATTATCAGCCTTTACAAAAGTATTCTACTGTACTTTACATGTGAATGCATGTTGTTGACTCAGTAACTCCCCCTTAATTAGATGTGGTCTGACCACTAGTTAACAACGATTGATGCTGGTTGAGACTTTTTGCTCTTTTCACCCCTATACCTTGGACTTTGGGGAAGAATTAAAAACTCTCTGGTTGGGGAGAGAATTGTACCATGCCTTTTTTTCTTTTTAATTCAGTCATGTGATTGGGTCCGTATTACTTGATCATTTCAGGTAATTGACAAGTCATCTCTGCTTACCATTTGTACCCCTTGCTCTATTATTTTTTCTGTTCTTTAAACTGGTTTATCTTTAAGGAAATATAACTTTAAACACAGTTTCACCATTACCAGTCCAATATTCTAAACCAACTGTGTCGGACAGAACTGACTGCAATGATGGAAATATTCTATATCTGCACTGTCCGATATGGTAGCCACCAGCTACATGTGGCTTTTGAGCACTTACAGTGTGGCTGGTGTGACTGAAGGAGTAAATTTTTAATTTTTAAAAATTTTAATTAACTTCAATGGCCATAGTGACCTCTGGCAATCTTTTTTTTGCATTTCATGTTGAAAATTGTTCACATATGATGGTAATCCTATTGAAAGGCTTAAAATGAGATAAAATGTTAGCTGCTAAACATTTGGTTAAAAAAAGCCAGTGACTACCACTGTTCCTCACATAGTTTTGCCTATCTTGCTAAGTTTCAAGCCCAAACCCTAAAAAAAAAAAAAAAAAAAAGTACATTCAGATCCCTCTTTAATAATTTAGTGTGAAATCCTAGAACACATTCTCTTAGGGACCTCTACTGATAGACAAGCAAAAATAAAGACCAATAGAGGCTATAAAGCAAAAGCTGACAAACAAAAGCTTTCATATACAGTTTTTATGATACTTCAGCTGACACTATTAACACTTTATTGAAAATATTCCATTGAAAAGAACTATGCATACACATAAAAGTATTTGGTAAGACAAAAACACAGTTTTACTATCAATGAGAAGTACTAGCTGACAATTATCAATTTCTCAAATAAGAACATAATCTATTTGTGACTGAAGAAATAATTATCTTGCTGATGGATGACATAAGCAACTTGGCCAGGACAGAACCAATGAACAGGAAACCATATATAATTCCAATTTGGCCAGTTAATTTATATAAGTGAAACAGTTAGTTTTACTCATTAACATACTCAAACATTAGTTATATTTACTTTCAAGATTTAAAAAAATTTATTCAAATAATTCCAGTTTGTTATTTATATATATTTTAATAAAGGGTAAAGACCTCTTACACTGTAATAAGATACAAAGAAAACAACAGCATCTCATGAAAGAGATATTATAGACAAATATAAAAATAAGAAATGTAGCCTCTTGATACAGCCAAATCATTGTATTAGAAACATTTAAATTACAGCTCTAGGGGTTGAAGGGGAGGCATTTAAAAGGTTCCTTTAAGTTAGTTAAATCAAGTGGATGAATTCTGAAAGGACAAAAGCAATTTATGAGCCTATGGACATATTACTGGGAAAGAAAAACTATCAATAAATTCCTAAAGTTAAAAGTAGTTGGGAAAAATATCTAACTAGAAAGAAAAAAAATTCTGGTTTCAATTAAGGGGGTTTTTGGGTCCATTTTATATAAGAGCTTATTTACTCTTTTTCCAAATGAGCATTTGTTATTTTCACAGATACATAAAAATGATTCCCATTTTAAAAAACATACTAAAAATATACATTAACCACAGAAGTACTTTGGAAGAAAATGAACATGGCTATTTTCAAATTAGCAATAAACTCAAGAAGCCAACATACATAAATCATGACAAGTATGCATCTCATTTGACAAAAATAACTGCCATTTTTACATTAATGCTTTATTATCAGCTTCTATATTAGATCCTCCAACCTTATTTACATGTACTATGAAATTTCTATTAATATGTATAACTTAAAGGCACTCACTCAATTCAGAGGTTATAAAGTCCTGAGCTTAAGTAGGAAACAGAATTCCCAACTAAAATGTGAACATAAATAATTTTAGACATCAGAGAATATTAAAATGTTTAAAAGTGTAATATCTGGTACATAAATAATTCATAACCCAACAATAAAAGTGTACAGAAAGAATTATCAAAGAAAAGACCAAGGAAGGTAAGAATTATGCTCAGAATCAAACTGATTTTTCCCTCATTCAAGTTCATTTGTAGGTCTGAAGCTGATTTTTGTTGTTAAAATTCCCAGAAAAGCTAAATTAAAAGAAAATATGAAAATCCTTAAGTTTAAAAAAAGTTCCTCAGCTTAGTCTCCAAAACCATGAAAAACATATTTAATGATTAAAAACAAGAATATACTGGAAATATATTAGACTAAAAGAAGGAATCATAATGAGGTGAAAAAATTAAAGGATAGCTTTAAGTGCACCAACTGAAAGAGCATTTACAATTGGCCAAATTATTTCTTTAGCATTCTTTTAGCCAAATAAATTTACAGATGGATGACTAAGGTTCACTAACACAAGGCAGGAACAAAGTTTAAGCTAAAAATTCAGTCTGTATTTTCTTGCACAGAAACGTGAGATTTACCTACAGCAATTTTCTACTGATGCTGAATTAAAAGCATGGATTGACATCTTTATAACAGAAATGGTTTGACCGATATTTTCTTGGCTTTAAAATGTTTTTTCCACATACGCACAGAAATGTAATAAGGATAAGAATAATCTTCTGTATTGTCTGTACAGTTCATAAGGCCTTTGTCATTGTTAGTCACCTTAGATGTGAATATCAGCAGGGCCATTAAATTAAAGCTGGCCTAAAAAGTTTTCAAAGTGCTACTGTTTCCAACTGATGAGATCCTCAGTTTTCTGGATTTTCTGGGTGACGATTATTTTCAGTTCTTTTTTCTGGCGATATATACAAGAAGTTACAGCAGATATATAAAGGGAAGACCAGAAGCCTGCTGTCCAAGTTCATCACCACTTGTTCCTATAAGACAGATTTGTAGGTTTAATGACAACTAGATAGCAAGATTTAAAAAATAAAAATAAAAACCCAAGCTGTTGAATTGAGTTAACCAAAGGAGATAGTATGCGGGTTAAGAGCTTGAGTCTGGCAGGCACGGTGGCTCACGCCTGTAATCCTAGCACTCTGGGAGGCCGAGGCGGGAGGACCGTTCTGAGCTCAGGAGTTCGAGACCATCCTGAGCAAGAGCGAGACCCCGTCTCTACTAAAAATAGAAAGAAATTGGCCAAACAACTAAAAATAGAAAAAAAAAAATTAGCCGGGCATGGTGGTGCGTGCCTGTAGTCTCAGCTACCTGGGAGGCTGAGGCAGGAGGATCGCTTGAGCCCAGGAGTCTGAGGTTGCTGTGAGCTAGGCTGCCTCCACGGCACTTGCCCCAGGCAAGAGAGTGAGACTCTGTCTCAAAAAAAAAAAAGAAAAAAAAGGAGCTTGAGTCTGAGATCCACAATTCAAATCTTCAAACTCCCACCCACTAGTTAACTGCTGCTTTCTCATTGTGTAAAATGAGGACAACAAGAGTACCCACTTCACAGAATTACACTGAGGATGAAATAAGAACGCACAGAGGGTTTAGCAAATCCAGATATATATTAAGTACTCAGTAGTGGTAGGTATTTTCATTATTGCAAAAATTTCTGTCAAGTACCTGAATATTTTATGAATAGATACAGTGTTCAGAAATAAACTTCTCAATTGGCTTCAATTTCTTTTTAAAATTTTTTATTTATAATTTTTTTTTTTTTTTAGAGACATGGTCTCATTATATGTCGCCCAGGCTGAGCACAGGGATTCTTCCGCCTCAGCCTCCTGAGCAGCTGGGACTATAGATACACACCAATGTGCCCATCTACTTGGCTTCAATTTCTGATGGCCCTTAGGTATGGCAAATCATTGGGATGAAGGTAGAGAGTCACTATTCCCACCAGCAAGCAGGGTTCCTACTCCTAAGATTCCCCACTGTCCTATGACAAACATGTCATCTGTCTCGTGGAACATAAAATACATTATCATGAAAAGCAATTTCAGGTTCAGTTACATCAACACACATAAGAATGCCCCAAACTCCCAGAGAGTCAGGAGTTGATTCTACACCTGAAAGCCACAAGTGCAACATCACTGGTGCTACAGGTGAGTTTTTGGAACCTCATATATCCTTTACCAGCACTATTTGGTGAACAGAATAAATCCTCAGAGTAAAAGAAGCAACACTAAAATCAGAATTCTTATTTTTTAAATACTTGGAATACACTCTCTGCAATAGTATGTATTAGTTTCACTTTATTTTATACATTTTGTAGAATATACTATTAAACATTGTTTAAATCTAGAGTTTTAACTTTTTACTGAGGTATGTGTTCCTGCAATGAAGGACTAAAACTAGAATATTTGAGTGCCTGAAGTAGGCTGACTGGACACAGCTTCTGTGTTGAGGGAGTAGCAAGGTAAAGAAGAAGAAGGTACACACTCCACAACCGCAAAGAGGCAAAGTGGTATTTTTAAAAAGACATCAGAGGCCGGGCGCAGTGGCTCATGCCTATAATCCTAGCACTCTGGGAGGCCAAGGCGGGCGGATTGTTTGAGCTCAGGAGTTTGAGACCAGC